CTCAACTGAAAGCTAAATTTTTGGGGAATACAGGCAGCTCAGAAATGGCCAAAATGCTGCCTAGTGGGTAATTGTAGCACTGTAACAATACCAAGTCTATGCTACATAATGTCATTATAAAGGAATAGTAGGTATACTACGAACTCATCTCGAACACTGACTCGCGTGAAATGGTAGAAGGCCAACCGACCCTTTCTCACCTGAAAAGGTAAACTGGGATCATGGCCTCCTAATCACGATTAAATTAGTGATTTTGACTCCTGAACGTGTAATACCATAGGGCCTTGTTATAAAATATTGAGCTAACTGATAAGCTTCGAAGCCTTTTAAATTTGGGAACCAAATCTTATTTAGCGATGTCGAAATCATCGGCTGAGTCAAGCAGCTGTGGGCTAAAGCTTGAATTCATCTGATATCTCAGAAAGCATATTAGTGTCAACGCTGATGAAGGCTCGAGTTAGGAGAATTTCTTTGCTATTTGAAAAGTTGGCTAGCAAAAAATACTTAGCAAGGTTATATACGGTAAACTTGAACTAGACGAGAGTAGCATTTCATGTGACAAAATAACTGTAACTTCAAGGATATTACTTCGAAAGGATCTTTGAACACACCACTTTATAATATGAGAAAATAATGCTGTGGTCTATTGTCACTGGAGTCCCTTTCATTATTGGAAATTCCAGCTTTTGAGTAGATTCTCATGATAGTGAATTTTCATCGCTTTTTTTATTGTAAAGTACGATGAAGTAGTGCAAAAGCAATCAGTTGATGAAAATCTACTCAAAATGAATCACTTGTTTGATGCTGCCAACTGGTTCTGAAAGCACTAGTGCACTATGCTGTTAAATGTGGATATGTCTATTTTTCAGTCTCAAAACACTTATAGAAACAGCACAGTTTATAAAGACGTGTGACCATGAGCAATACGCACTTTTTTAACCCTGTTATATAGAAAGAGCGTTCAAAATACTGTCAATCAATAGGGCATGATGGCTCACCGTCTTCAACATCACCAAAAATAAAATTTAGGGAGAAAGGAGGTTTTGACGATTTAGAAATAAACTAGAACTGCCCTGACCTTGTGCATTTCACATTTCAAATGAGCAAAAGCCTTGTGACGTTTATCAAGTTCCCTTTTGATGTATTTTGTCTGGTCTTTAGCTGATAAGAAGCGTTAATATACCATATGTGATGTCAACTACTAATTGTCATAATCAATGGTAATTAAGTAAGCATCCTGCATGTTTGTTCAAAATTACCAATTATCAAGAAGAGAAAATCAAAATTAAAATGAAAAGTTGGTAAGCGAGCGAAGAGCGAATGCAAGTTGGAAGCCTTTCACATCCACGATTATAGTCTAAAAGTAAGTTTCCCTAAGGCGAGATGACAGCAACAATAGATTATGA